GTTTTCTATTGAATAAAATCTAGTGCATAATTGTCTATGGAAACTAGCAGATATTTGGTAGAATTACAGGAAAATGATATCTTCTATCAGTTACTACCTGATTTTTATATCCACATTGGAAATTTTTATTAAAGAATTGAATGTACATCACTAAATCAATAAATATGTGGAGATACCAGGAAATGGAACAGAGAAATTCAGCATGCAAAGCATGTGTTCTCAAGCACCATTTGCTTTCAAATCTTCACATTTAGTTCTGTCTTATTAAACAAATATCATTTGATTTGCATTAGTATATGAGGTTAAAATATATTATTTTCCATGGAGCACCATCATGCTACCTAATCCAGATGATGAAACATCTGCAAGCAAACAGCCAAGCTCATAGAGCACCAAGGACTCTGCAGTTCAAACCTGAGCTACAAACACTCTCTTCTATTGGAATATTATTTTCCTTCCATTATTACAGATCTATGCACGACATGCTTCTCTGCATCTTCACTCAGGGAGAAAAGAAAGTAAAAATCTTCCCATGGCTAGCAGAACGGCCAAGATGCATGACAGTTAAATAATATTAGAATGCTACTCAGTGCCAAAAAGATGCAAGCCATGTATTATGTAGATTAAGGCTTTCACTTGCAGCTAATTTTCCAGGCAGACATACATATAAAATTATATATATAATTCACATAGAGCAAAGTATATGGTATAAAGAAATAATTCAATACAGATCAATCCACAATATCAATAAAAAGATCTTAATTTACATCTAAACTTATCTTTCTCGAAATGGCTGTTCTCTTTTGATTCTCCAACCTTCCCCAAAGGTAAGGTTCTATTTTTAACCTTGTAAAGTCAGTCTGGAGAGCCAGTTTGACCTAGAGGTTAAATCAGGCTAGAAAGTGGGAGATCCCGAATTCTAGTCCTGCCTCAAGGAAGAAGCAGTTGGGTAATCTTGGGCCAGTCATTCTCTTTCAGCCTTAGGAAGGAGGCAATGGCAAACCTATTCTGAAATCTTGCCAAGAAAACTGCAGGGATTACTTTTTTTCTTTTAAAAAAAACTATGATGGAGAAAAGGATTGTACCTTTTGTAATGGCAAAGGATCTTCTCTGTTTTGTTGCTTATTCACAGTCACTTTCCAGTTTAGCATTGGAAATCACTACATCAAACTGGTTTTCTTTCTTATATGGACTCATGGCCTGTATTAAGAGAAGCCTCTGGATAAAGCTCCCGGCTGTTGGGCATTTTTTCAGTTATAAAACAAGAGTTGGAAGGCTCAGAATCACTTGTATGCTGAAAAAGATACTCTCAGCCCCCAAATTTTTAAATGCCCGCAGCATTATTATTTTTTTAATTCATAAGGGTTAGAAATTTGCCTCCAAAACTGGGCGAATAGCCCAGATCTAATCATCCATCATAGGAGGAGTTCCCTCTGGGGAAGATGGATATTGTTTTTGGCTCTTAGTCAATTTGTACCCTGCAAGAGAAGCCCTTCAGAGGCCATCACTTTTTTCTGTTTTGCTGCCTCCCAAATCATTCACTTAAATAAAGTGAAAATGAAAATATTTCTTCATCTCCAAAAGAAGCTCCAATGATCCACAGCACATTTTTAATAAACTGATTCCTGAATTTTACTTCTTTTTGGGAATAAAGAACATGACCTACAGCAGACATGTCAAACTCGCGACGTCACGCAACGTATCGGGACGGTTTTGCCATTGCCGGCAATGGGGTGGGCGCGGCTTCCGGATGACGCGTCCGGCCAGTGGGCCGGCAGTTTGACACCCCTGACCTACAATATTATTTTCTTTTTAATGTACTGTATATATGAAGACAGAAGCAAATTCCTTAATCAGAATAACTAGGAAGTAAGGTTTAAAGTTTCCTAGTTCATACAGAAATCTTGATTTAACTCAGTATGAACAGTTTGCATTTTCTGGAAAGTAAAAAATAAACAAGGGAGAAAGAATAAGCTGTCAGTTCTTCTGAATATGGGGAGAAGAGGAGAAAAATGGGAGAGTAGAATATAGGCTCCAAAGAGACTGAAATTGAGTCATGATGGAGCTTGTTTCAAAAAGAAAAAAAAGTGACCAAAACAGATAGAA